AAAAAAAAAAAAAAAAAAAAAAAAAAAAAAAAAAAAAAAAAAAAAAAAAAAAAAAAAGAGGTTGGATAATGGTTTGAATTACATAACGAAGCAGCCGTTAGGATTGTCATCGCTAAACATGGTGGTGAGCTTCTCGTCGACGGCATTAGGGCTTGGGACTGCCTGAACGGCGTTTTTAACGAAGCCCGCCGGCGCCCTTTTGTCGTAGGCCTGCGCCACGTAGGGATACGCCACCACATTGTACGGCACATACGGCCATAGCTCCGCCCTTTTCCCCGTTCTTCTCACTTTCTTCAACACTCTGTTCTCATCCACGAACCCCATCACTGTAACTTTGCCCTGTTTTCTGTTTATTTCCACCGTCTTCACGCCTGTATTCCACAAATTAATCTTAGAACATGAAATTATTATTCTCTCCTTTTCTTCTTCAATGGCGGATTCCAAAATCAAAATGGGTTTGTCGGACCTTTCATTTTGGAGACAGCGTTTCTTACTCGACGCTCGCAGCCGTCGCAGTCCATTTTGACCTTGATCTCCACTGTCTACACTCATCAAAAACAAAACCCGCCATTAAAGAGTGAGTTTAAAGCTTAATCTGATTAAGACATTATAAATCAGAGAGTAAAAGTGGATGATTTTGAAAGAAAAAGAGATAAATGGAGGGAACCTGCAATGGTTTTTTGTTCCTTTGTCTGGAAATGGTCACAAAATCAGAAATTAAATCTGAGACAGTGTCAAGAATGCCCATTTTTTGGTCTCTGTCTTTCTCTGTGTTTGAGCTTTAAATGGAGCTCCAAGTTATGAGGAAGAAGGAGATGGGTGTATCTGCAAAGTTTAGAGGAAGGAAGGGAAGGGAAGGGGTATATATATAAATATTGGAACTTATGAGTGCAAGTGGGAAATAAAATTAATTTAAGAACAGAGCTAAGAATGGAGAATTGAATTGATTTTAATAAACAAAACTTTAGTGGTTTGAATTGAATTGATTCCGTGCGTTTGGGGGCTTTTTATAAATAGAAAAGATACAAAAAGGGGGCTTTTGGCAAGTTTTGTCTTAGGACTGTGGGTGATTCTAGAACAACTTTTAAAAGATCAAATAATAATAATAATAATAATAATTAATGCCCCCCGTCTTACCGCGTCTGCTGGCACTAGTAGGAGCTTCTTTCTCGATTCCTATCATGATCATGCACTCGACGAAAGAGCTTTACAAGCAGAATTGCCCTTCTTCACTCATGCAATATTGCTGGATCGGACTTTCAACCATTGTCTAAGATTTCTCACTGCTACTTCCATACGAGTCCCAGTCGTGTCTTAGTTTTAGTGTGACTGATCATATGAAAAGGAACCGCTGGCTTAGTTATTAATCAAAATTGGATCAAAATCAATTATTTTCTCCAAAAATTGAAAGTTTATCATAAAAAGCCGAACTTCAAACATATTTAATTATCAATTCTATAACTATTTCATTAAATTAAATCATTATGTAATGATTTATATGTATATATGAATTTACTTGGAAGGCAAAGCAATAATAAATGCAGTGTGATAGGGGGTTTACTAACCGCTCATCTTAATTTCTGTCACTTTTCACAGTTCCCACGGAATATGCAAATCATATTGCAAAATCCTCCGCCTCATCTCATCATCCAATATAGGCAATCTCTGTGTGAGATTCATTCCATATCGATTGGAGAGGAGAATGAAGAACGTTAGGTCTCCAAGAGAGTGAATTGTGAGATCCCACATTGGTTGAAGAAGAAAACGAAGAACGATGGCCCCTCAATAAGATGGATTGTGAGATCCCACATCAGTTGGAAAGGGAAACGAAGCATTCGTTACAAGGGTGTGTAAACCTCGCCCTCGTAAATGCGTTTTAAAAACCTTGAGGGAAGCTCGAAAGGAAAAGCCCAAAAAAGATCATATCGAGCGGTAGAATTGGGCTGTTACACTCCCTCAGCTACCTGCTAAAACCATATTTATGATCAATGAATATGGCTCATATACATTTATAAACATCAGATTTAGTTGTTGAAGAAACTAAAGATTGTTTATGCTTGGCAGGAAGAAATGAAATGCATGGAAGGTAGAATACTAAATGCGAGAAATGGCAGATTTTAATATTGATTGAGCAATGAATAAGACTATGATGCTTTTTCTGTGCCAAAAGAAGAGCTCACCTAAGAGAAAATGATTTCACTTGCATTGGCTTGATTGTAAACTCAGCTAGTAGATATTGTTCTCTTTGAGCTTTCCCTTCCGAATTTCCCTCAAAGTTTTAAAACGCGTCAACTAGGGAGGATTTTCACACCTCTGACCGATGTGGGATCCCAAACCCTGCCTGTGTTTCAGAATATTCACATCGCCTCAGCGAGTGCACGGACCGGTCTACCAACCGTTCCAGCCAGAACACAGTGCACCCAGGGTGGATCAATTTGGTCTGCAGTTGAGGATGATCCCGTCAACCGTGTTCAGCACGGGGTCATCTCATTGAAACTGTCTGGCACAAGCAGCTCCACTTTGAGCCATTTAATCAAAACTGGAAATCTGGAGGAAGTGAGGGTCCATCTAAGGTGGATTGGATTGTCCCAGATCATGTATCTTAGATCATTGTTCAATGTATTGTTCGTGAAGAGATATTTGCAATAGCTAACCAAACCAACAATTCATCTACTAAACATGTTATTGATTCAGCATAAGCTAACCAAAATATAAGGAGATATTTGCATAGTCTATGTTCATATATACGGTGAATTCATCACTTGCAGTTTATCTCTACTCTTATATTCAATCCTGTAATGGATTGACAGTAATCTAATGAGTTTAGTTGTACCATTGTTCACAGATAAACCTCTCAAACAAGAAAATTTCTAATTTAATGAACATATATGCACAAGCAACTCATTCGTGCTACCATCACCAGTAATTATAAACTAAGTTTAATATGCAAATCTAACTCAAATGGCTAATCTTTTGTATGCATCTACTTACATATCAAGCCCACCGCTAGTAAATATTATCTTCTTTGTGCTTTCCCTTTCGAGCTTCCCCTCAAAGTTTTAAAATACGTCTGCAGGAAGAGGTTTCCACACTGTTATAAAAAATGTTTCGTTTGCTCACAAAATATACAAGTGAGAGTGCAGATATACAAGTGAGAGTGCAGAAAGAGAATTTCTAGCACGTAAAAATCAAGATATGAAGCACAATTGACATCATACAGCAACAACAAAACACTTATTTCTCATCTCACCACAGCTAAAGAATGCATGGACAGATAGGAGATGGCAATATAAATTAAAACCCCTCCAGAGTAGACTCCTAATCAAGCAATCATAGACTACAAATTACACTATCAGTCACTTGACCTATCATGTAATAGCTTCTACTCGTCGATCTAGGAAGCGTCCCCATGGTTTAATTCAAATGAGCACTTCCCTTTCCATTTGTTTTCTATAATCTAAAGCTTGAAAACTATGTTGTTTCCGTGAAAGTGCAACCAAATAGCCATAATTAAAGCATTCCAAATGGCATGAAACAGAAGATCCAAGAAGAGCACCTAATGATATGAAATTAGTTCAAATCCATTACACCCTTTTGTAAGAATGTGCCAATGGAGTAATGAAACTTTTTCAAAACGGTCTTAGGCAAGTGCATGGGACTCAAACTTTAGCCACATTTGACTAGCCATATATTGGCAGCAGCTTCCTTTTTCTGCCAAAGAAATCAACACACAACCTCACCAGATCATCTCTTTTAGACAATATATGCAAGCTAGAGAGACACAGGAACCTTTTCTGACTAATGTTAGCAAATGAAAACTCACTTAAAGGCCTAAGCTAATCCGTCCTTCTTCACAGGGTCATAATTCAAGCCTGGAAGACAGCCCCAGTAACCTCTAGCACCAGAGCTTAAATCTTAGTTTACAACTGGACATATGCAATCAGGACAAGATACTAAAAATCAATCATGACAACTTCATCCACATATCAGGCCACGATAGATCACCAACGTCGGGTGATATTTGGAAGATCCCAAACGACAATAAATTCACTGCAAAAGCCCAATATTATGATCCAGTAAAGAACAATTTAAAACACATAAATGCACGTTAACCAGAAAAGTAAGAAGAACAATCGAGATTCAACCAATTGGCATAATCCATCACACTCAAAGTGATAAACCAATCCCAACCACAGTCAATCTCGAGCAGAACCGCTGCAGCATGCAAAGTCGTAGCAAGGTAAGAGGATCCACTGTAAGTCATACGATCGGGCTTACCAGCAACGTCCACATTCCCAAAAGCTCAAGTCGCCGGAACAGACTTCACCGCCACGGCTAGCTGTCGCATATCTCCATCGGACGGCGAGTAACAGCCCAAATATCCTGTCCTTTCTTTTTCTTCTCGCTCCAACAAACGTATAAGAAAAGGATCGTCGACATCACGCTCTCCAGTGGCGCGGTCAGTTGAACTCCATTTTGTACCGCTCCTTTTATACCGTCCGTCCGATTTTCTTTTTTAAATTACGATAATAATTATGATTTTAAAATTTCTCTTGGTATCAAAACTTTTATAATTATAATTTTATTATTTAAATTTTGATATTTTTAAAATTTTACCAATTTATTAGGAGTTTCTTTCTACATAAATTTTAAATTTATATTTAATACATTAACTAATCTACAAACACAGAATTGCAATAATTTATTAAATAAAAAATAACATATTAAACACTTTTACTAAAAGTATACGAATTAAGGAAAAATGTAATATTCTTCAAAGAAAATGCTTCTAACCAATTTTTAAAATTTTAAAATTAATTTTTGCAAATTTGAAAGTATAAATGTTTTTTTAAAAATTATAAACTTTATTGTACAGATAAAAGAATAACATTGTATTTTAACAAAATTATGAGAATAAATTTATAATTTGAGGTGAAAATTTTTAGAGGACCAATGCGTTGGCGTCACTATCTTCCCATTCCATCGTGCCGTGCTTGAACACTCCATCGTTGGCCTGAGAAAATTGACCATAGAACGTGAACGCGCCAATAAACCACCACGAGAATCGATGAACTTCAAAATTTTCCTCTCAGTATCTGCATCACTTTATCACCCACTCGAAATTATTTAAATGATCGAGTGAAGAAACAGTTTTCTACGTTATCTAAAATTAAACCTCTGTCGTTTGTGTTTAAATTCTCACAGATCCAAGGCAATTCCGATCTGAAAGTTGCAAAAATGGTGGACAAGTATGAGAAAGACAATTTGGCCGAGAAATACTTAGAAGGGAGGCCTAGATCTTACCCTGCCGACTGGTACTCTAAACTCGCCGCCCTCACCGCTGGCCATTCCCTCGCCTGTGACTTCGGCACCGGCAATGGCCAAGCCGCTCTCGGCGTAAGTGTGTTTGGATTTTGATTTATCTTGTTATGTAATCGTTGTAGCGATCTTCGTGAAATCTCGACTTGATTTTTGATTCAATGGCAGGTTGCAGAGCATTACGAGAAAGTAATCGGAATCGATGTGAGCAAATCGCAATTAGAATGCGCGATGAAGCACGAAAGAGTTCAATACCTCCACTTACCGACCTCGATGAGCGAAGACGAGATGGTGAAATCAATCGGCACCGACAACACCGTAGATCTGATCGTTTCCGCCGAGGCCGTGCACTGGTTCGATCTGCCGAAATTCTACGCCGTCGCCTCTCGTCTTCTCCGGAAGCCAGGCGGAATCATCGCGGTTTGGGGATATTACTACATATCCTTGAACGATGCCTTCAATGCCGCGATGAATCGATTGACGGAAGCCACGCTGCCGTTTTGGGATCAGAAAGTGAAGGAATACGTCCTGAACGATTACAGGACGATTCCGTTCCCTTTCGAGAGCGTGGGGATCGGATCTGAAGGGAAGCCGGAGCATTTGGAGATGGAACAAGAGTTTTCGTTTGAAGGAATGTTGAAGTATCTGAAATCGATGGGGCCAGTGATTTTGGCGAAGGAGAACGGCGTGGATGTGATGTGCGAAGAAATGGTTAAGGAGCTGAGAGATGCTTGGGGCGGCGGAGATTTGGTCAGAACCGTCGTGTATAAATGCTTCATGCTCGCCGGAAAAGTTAGAACCTAACGAATTACCGGAGAATAATTAATGAATTTCCTTTTGCATTTATTGGTTTCAATAAATTTGTCGAAATTTCAATTTATTTTATATAATTTTAAAAGTTTCCGAAATTGTTTCCCACGATTTAGCTTAAACTTTCTCAAATAAAATTTTCCCTAATGGGTAATCTTATATATAGTATATAAATAAATATAAAATTATTGAATATTAATTTTACTGCCCCAATAACAACTCATTTAAAGGTGGTAATTCAAATATTTTTTAGACCAAATAGTTAAAATAGTTAAAAAATTACTATCCAATTTATTTTCAAGGTATATTTTAAAAAATTATTTTTCAAATAGTTAAAATTCATCCGAAAATAAATAATAAAAATAAAAATGAATTAAATATATGTATATATAATTGGATTTAAGCAAAAATGTACATTTTAAAATTAATAATAAATTTTTGTTAGGGAAAATATTCAACCTAATTTAATCCAAAATTAATTGAGTTGGGTTGGGTCGATCGTATTTCCTAGTCATTCTATATATACGAGGAGCTAAGAAATATATATGCCATCGCAAAAGAAGTAACTTATCATTTATATTTCAACTAAAAAATCCTTCCGCAGAGATTCTATCTCCTCCACCGCACTCCCAAACAAATTACCTGGTAATTGTACCGAAAGATTTCCAGATTCTGGCCATTCTCTTCTGTGTTCTTCCCCTCTCCTTCGTGGTAATTCTTCTGATTTATGCTGAATCTTGTTTTTGGCGTTCTTTCATTCTAAATCTCGCTCCATTGATGCGCAAATTGGATTTGAATGTTGCTTTTCCGGTGGTGATTGTTCTTTTCTTTACTTGATGGCTTATAGATTCGGAATTTCGATCATGGGTTTTCCTTTCTTTTTTTGTTTCGGAATGTGTGTTTGGCGGTGTGCCTCTGCGTGTTTTGTTGCGTTTGTGTTGACTTTCTTGCTAATAATTTGTTCTCCGTTTCGGTAACTGTTTTTGAATTTTAGCCTGCGATGTCGCAATTTAATTAGATGTTTGTTTATCCCTTAGTGCTTGATTGATGTACAGGTTCGTTGAAGGAAATTCAACTCGGGTGTTAATCACTCAGATCGCTTCCAAATTGACAATACGATTGTGATTAAATCCTGTGCTGGAAGTGAATGCCTAAACTGGGATTTTGAATTGTTGGTATTAATGGGCAAGACGTTGATTACGAAGTATCTATCGATTTGAAGCTGAGGTTTAATTTGGATAGTCATGACTTGGGCCATGCGGAAGGGTTTTGCTGTATATCCTCGAACAATTTCTTGGATTGCTATTTCAGTTGGAGGATTGGCCATGTTCCTCATCTTTGGCTCTTGGTTTTTAGTCTCCTACCCATTAGGTTCCATAATGCGCGGGTACTTCTACGGTGTTAATAGTTCAAAGGATTTGGATTTTGTAATTTCTCTAGGAAATCAAAATGCTACTGTTCTTGCCCATGACAGCAATTTAGATCTTGTACCAAAAAAGTTCCCTTCAGATGAGGTTATAGTTGACAAGAAAATTGAATCTGAATCAAATCCACCTCCTCAAAGTAGTTCAAATAGACCTGCAAATGATGAAAGTTCAAATGTAATTGATAAGGATTTGTTGCCCAAGTCCAAGTCACCAGATGCCATGATATCGAGTAGTCAGTCAGTTCCAGAAAACAAGGAAAAGAGAGATGAAGGGACGATTCCTTCAGTAGTGTCTTCAAAAGAGTCGAAGGATGGTATCGATACATCTAAATCTGAAAATGCTGAAGCTGGTGGATCTGTTTCCAAAGGTTCTATAAGCAATTCCAGTGATACAGATATGGGTTCTAAAAATCCAGATCCTCTGCCAACTAATGGGAGCACAGCATCAGATTTAGGTAACCTTTTGTGAAATGGGTACCTCAACTAGTTGTATTTCATGTTTGAACATAATATTGGTTTTGCGAGGATTTTTGTATGATGAATATCATATCATTGCATCTCCCCATGTGGTTCTTTTAGTTCATCTGTTTTTACTTACTATGGTTTGCCACTATAGATCTTCATCCTTAGGATGTTTCTTATTGATTCAAGGAGAAGATACTGCCATGAAATAACTTGTTCAAGTCTCTTTTCCTCATCCCTATCCTTTTTTGTTTCTTTCCTTCCCATTTAAGATTATAATTTTTTTTTATTTACTGTCCTATCATGCAGGCTGTGATTTGTACCACGGAACTTGGGTTTATGATTCTGCAGGACCATTATATAAAAATAATTCATGCCCTGTCCTGTCACAGATGCAGAACTGTCAGGGAAATGGGAGGCCAGACAAGGAGTATGAGAATTGGCGATGGAAGCCCTCTCAATGTAACCTCCCAAGATTTGATCCTAAGAAGTTTTTGAAGTTGATGAATGGGAAGACACTAGCTTTTATCGGTGACTCAGTTGCTCGAAATCAAATGGAGTCATTGTTGTGCATTTTGTGGCAGGTTATTGCTAATTTTATATTTTGTTTTGATTGAAATTCGATCTTTTTCCTTCGTTCAATTGCATTGGAAGATGACAAAGGGTGCCAAGGTGCAGTGAATATTGAATATTCTGTACTTCCTATGTGTTTTTGAAGCTTTATACAAAGAGCCCTTTATGATCTAGTCCTTTCTGAATATGTTAGGTCGAGAAAACAATTAATTGAACTAAACTAAGTAATTGCTCATCTTGGAGCAATTGTGTAGGTGGGGGATGCTGGTGAGCTCAAGCTTCTATATTTGTTTGTAGATGGTTCAAATATGTAGATATTTAATTCGTGCAATGCACTAAACTTGATATCAAGTTTATCGGGTCTTGCACGAATGTCGGGGAAAAAGTGGCATTGATTCTTAACTTAACTAAGAACTGAACTCCTTGATGTTTATCATCCATTAAACACCATCATTACAGGTGCGGTTAACTTTGCAACTTTGCTGGGATTGACACTTCAGGCATACATTTTCCTTCAAGGAAGAGATGTGCTTTGTGTCTATGTTTGAATGTTTAGCTCATATGTGAGAGAAGTAACTGATTTGAGATCTCCATTCTAACTTTTATCCTAAATATGTGGTGTTTAAGCTATTCTTGTAAATTGTATATTGGATCCTTTTTGTTTTTGTTGTGTATTTATTTGATCATTCAGATAGTTTTCAAATGTTTTTCTAATTTGAAATTTTCTCTAATGTGTTCAGGTTGAAGTTCCTAAAAACAGGGGAAACAAGAAAATGCAAAGATATTATTTCAGGTCAACTTCTGTGATGATTGTTCGAATATGGTCATCATGGCTTGTAAAGCAAACAAATGAACCTTTAGATTTTGCCCAAGATGGTGTTGTCAAACTTCACCTTGATGCTCCTGATGATCATTTCATGGAATTTGTTCCAAATTTTGATGTCATTGTCATGTCATCTGGTCACTGGTTTGCCAAGCAGTCAGTTTACGTTCTAAATAACGAGATCGTAGGAGGACAGCTGTGGTGGCCTGATAAATCTCGTCGTATGAAGGTCAACAACATTGAAGCTTTTCAAATCTCTGTTGAAACCATTCTTACTGCTCTTGCCACAAGCCCGAATTACACGGGGCTCACGATCGTGCGTTCTTATTCTCCTGATCACTACGAGGGTGGAGCCTGGAATACTGGTGGATCCTGTACTGGAAAAGATAGGCCTCTTGCACCAGGAGAACGAGTGGAAAACAAATTCACTAACATCATGCATGATAAACAGCTATCTGGATTCAATGCAGCAATTAAGAAGCTAAAAAATAAATCAAGGCTAGTACTTATGGACATCACAGAAGCTTTTGAATATCGCCATGATGGGCATCCAGGACCTTACAGAAATACTGACCCAAATAAACTCACCAAACGTGGGCCAGATGGAAAGCCACCACCACAGGATTGCTTACACTGGTGCATGCCGGGGCCTGTAGATACCTGGAATGAGCTTGTTCTTGATATTATAAGGAGAGATTTTGAAGGTAACCAGCATTTTTCTTCGTGATATTCCTGTTTCTGACTTCCTGTCTGGAATTTTAGTTAAGAAAATTAAGAGAAAATTGAGTAACTTGTTTCCAAAGTTTGTGTTAGGCTTGAGATGACCACATCCTTTTGTTGTTCTTTTGTTCTCCCACACTATCTTATTTATATTCATATAGAAAGTATTTATTGTAACACTTGGAGGATTGGAAGCTAATTTATGTATTTTAAGGGATTTCCCATCCTCGTTGCTCTTATCTGTGATCTTTGTTTGTTGTGTTTCTGCTGTTGATTTACAGGTGCTTGCATCCATGATGATATAAACCTGCTATAATGTTAGTCCTGTACTGTTATCTGCTCTTATTACGATGGATCTGCTGTTTTTAGTCATCCATCTTAGGATTATATATATAACCCGTTACATATAACCCATTACGTATTGTCGTCAATTTCACGGTTTTAGAATGGTCTACTATGGAGAGGGTCTAGACCTACTCCGATTAGTGTCTCGCACCGTCTGGTGATTGGCTCTAATACCATTTATAACGACCTAAGTCCACCGCTAATAGATATTATCTGCATTGACTCATTACGTATTTCCATCAGTTTCGTGGTTTTAAAACGCATCTACTATGGAGGGTTTAGTCCTACTTCGACTAGTTGCTCGCACCGTCCGGTGACTGACTCTAATACCATTTGTAATGATCTAAGTCCACTGTTAGTAGATATTGTCTGTTTCGACTTGTTACGTACCATCGTTAGTCTCACGGTTCTAAAATGCTTCTGCTAGAGAGACGGTCTAGCTCTACTCCGACTAATATCTCTAGCTCTACTCCGACTAATGTCTATTGTAATGGGCTCATCTTTTATCATAGCTTAGCTGTTCTCATTTAAGTCAAGTTTTCAAGTAAATAGGATATTTGAAGCTTCGAATGATTTGTCTTGAACTACGAAGGAAAACATTTGCATCATCATCAAAAGCCTTCATCTTTGTTGAAAGTCTTGGAAATCATGCTTGGTCTAGTTCAATTTCGTGTCTAGTAAACGT